TATTTTTTGGTTTTTCCAATCGTTGGCCGGACATCTCTAGACACCCTGGAGGACGGTCTTTTCTAAAGGCCTCAAAGTGAATTTCTGTGACTCATTTGCCTCAATTTAGTCAAGAATAACAGGCTCAAATAAAAAGCAGTAAATAAGACGCCGCAAAAAAATATCACATATATTTCCAGTTAGAAAAAGCCTTGGTGCTGACTTCGATGATCGAAAATCACACGTTTGATCGCCTTGGTAAAATACTTGAAAAACGGCAAACAAAGCCACAGTCCTGCATTCGCATAATACGAAAGCGACGCCATAAATAACAAAAAGCTCAGTTCCAGTCTATAAAAGTAAATCAAATAATAAATTAACAGTACTGAAAGGCCGGACAGAATTTCCAAAGGTCCTCTGACCAAGTGCCAAGGCCGCATTCCCATCGAGCTTTTGTAGACGATTTTCTCGGTAAATGTGATTATTCCGTAACCGAAACCAAACAGGAGACTGCTGATGGTGATGACATCGTTTGTGATATCTTGAGATAGAACTGAAAAAAATCGAAAAAAACCAGTAGTTTACTTGCGGAGGAAAACACAAGATCATGTATGCACAAACAGACGAAAATTTGCAAAAATCAAGCAAACCACCCTCAAGATTATTTGAAAAGCGCTTTTAAAATAATATTTTTGAATCCAAGCCAGTTTTCCCGAAATTGCTTTTTTAATATTATTAATTTAATATTTTTTTGCAATTTCAGATTATACCGCTGCTCTGTAGGTGCGATAACGAAATGTTGAACTTTACGTAAGCGTAAGTGCAATAAAGCACATGGTCGAATACCGACGTGTGCTAGAAAGAGAAGTAAATAAACCCAGCCTTGTAGGCGGGGCCTCGAGTAATGATATCAAATCAAAGTCAGCGACTGAGATCTTGAGGCAAAATCTCAGTTTTTCGGGTTTTCAAGTAGTCTGAGAGGATTTTTGAAAAAAGATCGTTTACAGCACCCAAAAAACGAAATGAGGGATCAATAAGCCACATGAATAATATATTTTACAATAAACGAGACGCTAGAACGCTTTGCTACTTTCAAAGTCTGAAAATGTAATAACTTTTCTGTGAAATATTCCGAATTTTTAATTTTTGCTTGGTTTATTGGTGAAGTGATCATTACAGGTCTAAAATGTCTAATCATAGTGTTTCCTTAATGATCCACAAATCAACGGAAGCAAAAAACCTCACAGGATTGAACGCGCATGAAAAGAAAAGTCGCCTAATGTGTGTACTAGACAAAGAAGACGCATGTAAACCTACATAGAACGCCTGGTGGACGGAGCCCCGTTTGACACCATCACACTCGAGTGATGGACTCGATTGGATTGGCTGCCCTTGATTTTTGAGCGAAGACTAGTCGCATCTCTTTTCATCCAATGCACACATTTGCGACTCTACCTTGTTCCACTTATGGACAAACAACAGCTACTCACTCCATAGACTGGTTCCATTGACAATCAGCCCCAATACGAAGACAAGTCGCATCTTCTCATGGCTGAGCTTCAGAACCAGCGGTAAAGTCACCAGGAAAAAGCACCAAGCGAATGCCACATAGGTGAGAAGGAAAGTGACATTTTCCGTGCTAAACACCAGGCTTTGCTTCCAAGACTTTTCCATTGCCATGAATGGAGCCAAAGTGATATAGAGAGTCGACACGGTGCTAGTTACTACTTTGGTGGTTAGCGATGGGTAGAAGTAGATGTTTTTGATCCCGTAGTAGATCGGCCGGATGATGTTGTCGTAGAAGAAGTCCTTGATTGTTCGCAAGCGTCTGGTCCAGACGTACTTCCGATATGGATTGCAGTGGAAGCAGTGGCGAGACTTCTGGAAATTCTTCAGTTCGTCCATAACCGAGACTCGGTTTTTCGTTTCTTTGAAGTTGGAGATGTACTCGATAGTGTTGATCGGCTCCGGCCTGTGCTCGTTCAGTAGCTCATTGATCGTGAACACTTCTCTGATACTGTCCCGACGAATCTGGTCCAAGTTGAGCTCTTCCAGCTTGCTGCTAATGACGCTCAGGCGCTTCGGGTCAATGTAATTGAGGTCCTCCTGATCTTCGTCTTCATTTTCTTCGGGAATACCTGCAAATTTCGTATCAGCTGCCTTTGCCCAGTTAGTCACACGTGCGGTTTCACCTGGTAGAATATTTATCCCCATATTCATGTAATAGGACTGCACAGTGGCGTGGCTCAAATGGGAGCCGGGCGCTGTAACATCATCGGCAGTATGTTCAGCAGTCCCGTAGTTGTAGAACCCTTGATCGAAAACCTCTTCTACAAAATGCTGATTGTTATATTGCGGCTCTGTAGACGTTGTGGCTACTGGGAGGTATGCAGGGGCTCGCTCAGCTACAGCAGGCTCATCGTCGCTGTCGTGGCAGGATTGCGAGCTTGACGTTGAGCTGGACTCAGCTACACCCTCCGGATCGTCTTCGACGGTTTTTTTAATTTCATTCAACTCGTAGGATGGACGAACGCGACTTTGGTAAGAACGCAAATATATTTCCGAATAAACCTGGACAGGATGCAATCTTACCCAATAGTCTGGTATCGGGTCATATCGCATTTTTCAGGCCGGTTCTTCCATTGATCATCTAGAGGAATGAGCAAAGCAGCCGGCACAATGTTAAGTAGAACTGAGGCAAACACCAGCTTGGCTTGGTTAACGCTGAAGATCGTGATCAACCACCAGACGAACTGGGGCATGATGAATAAGCTGAGCGCCCTGGAAACCTGCCGGATGACTTCGAGGACCTTCGGGTCCATGTCCAGCTTGTCCACAGCAAAGTAGCTGAGTTGAGTCGATACAAGATTAGAAATGATGGCTGGAATCGATTAAGGTGAAGCACTGGCGAAAGCGTGTAGTTCAGCGGTTGTACCTCCAAAAATCATGTAAGTTAGGATGGCATCGGGTACCATTGTGGCCATAAACAGGAGAACCGCACTGATTCCAATCAGATAGCGAAAAAATATGCTTTTGCGGTCTTCGAAGTAATCGGAGAGGAATCTTGAGAATGGATCTACAAGATATTAGTTCGTTTTGCGTGATGATTAGTTTTCAATTGATGTTGTGCTTTATTTTTTATTAGAGAGAAGATTATAGCCAACCCTCGTATCTTGGACTAAGCTTGTTGTTGACTGTCAAATAGAAACGACTGTGCGCGATTTGTTCCGTTAAAAAAGGCAGTGAAACTCCGATTTTCTTCATTTCTGTGCGGAAAATTGCAAATTTTCTTTAAAGCAAAGTCCCTCTTCAACATTTGTAGAGAGTTTCCCGATCAGTAGAGTGATTTTAGCAATAATATTCGACATTTTATATTCGGGACTTTCTGACGTTTAATTGTCAAACTGTGACAACCGACTTAGATCAGCAGCCTACTAATTAGTACTGAACTAAATATCTTTGACACAAGTTTTGATGGATTTGGCGTTTTTATGACTGTTGGGGGTTCAGTCAGGGTTTTCAGCGATTCGCTACTATTCAAATTCAGAAATTCGCAGCTAAATAGCGGTTCATTTTTTGTATGGAAGATTTTCTTAAGGGCAAGTTCTTCTTTACTTTTTGTCGAGATGGAGTTCTTTGCAAAAATTGGGGACTTTTTATGTCGTGAACTCTCTGACGTTTAGTTGACACTACGATGACAAACTTCTGTTCATCACAGATTTGCAGTTTTCCTTAATTTTCAAAGTTTTCTTCAAGGCTTTTAAGATTTTGCAACTATTCAAGGGCGAAAATGGAAAGTGAAATTCTCTTGCAGAATCTGGGCAAGAAACAAAAAAAAGTGGGACAGAAGCAGGAAAACCGAATATTATAACGCCTGAGATTTCAAAAGTTTCAATGGAAGATGAATAAAGAGAAGGAAAAGGGCCTGAGCATTTTCAGCAGTTTTTCTGTATTTAATGAAAACAACAAGCAGAATGTCTATTTTTCGTTAGCTTGACCAAACGATGACGTAACTGACGAGTAGTTTTTACAGTACCTCAACAGAAATTTGCAACTTTTCACCTTAAAAGCGGAGTTTTTGCAATCAACCCAAAAAGGAAAAAAAGTACTGAAAAAAACCTAGAAAATATTCTTAAGCAATTTTTCTTAGTGGGTTTCCGACTTTCTCAGTTACTGACGAGAAGTGAGTCAGATCCTCTCTCAAACTCTCAACAAACCTTTGGGGAATTTATGACTGTTCAAAGGCAAAAATGAGCAGGTAAATGGAAAGTAGACATTTTTCTTCAGACTTCGGACAGACAAAAATGTTGAACTTGACTGGGTTTAAGCTAAAAAAACCATCTGAACGTCTTTATTCTCGAACCATTTGGAAACGAGTCGCAGTTTTGCCCATTTTTTGAGCTTTCAGTATTTTATTTTTCACAGTTTTCATTGTATCTTTTGAGAATAACTAGTAGATAAATCGGCATTACTTCTTCAGCTTTAGCTCTTTCAAGAGCGGAGAAAAGTGACTTAAATCGTTGGATTAAAATCGCTCTTCTTGAAGCTGAAATTAGTTTCATAAGGGCTGAAAAATCCTGTAATTTCTGTCTGGCAAAATCTTGCACGGCCGCAAATATCTCATATAAACCAACTTGTTGACTTTACCCGTGAAACTCCAACAGCAAATGTACAAGATGGAGGACCAAATTCCCTCTCTGTACTCGTGCACTCCCAAAAAAACGTATTCTGAGAGGATGATTCCATAGCAGTAGACAATCGAGGCAAGAAAAAACTGAAAAGAAGCAGTTCGGTTGATTGTTTTTCAGTTGGAATGCTCACCTAAAATATGCACTTTTGAATGTTTGCGCCAAATAGCTGTATTTTCTCCAGCAAGGGCAACACTGCATTTTACATAACAAAAATTGCGAAAAATTAGTTATTACTCACTTCGATAATCCCGATGCCGACCTTGGCAAGGAGATGCTGTTTAATACCATTTCCCTTTCCTTGGATCTCCACATTCAGGTCAGAAATGGTAACGTTCTTATTCATATTAAACCCTATACGCACTTACTACATTTCGGACCCAAAAACGACACTTTTTCGTCGACTTTTTGATGCTGAAAAGCCACGGTTCTCACGTTTTTCCAGGGGCTAAATTCGAAAAATTGGGTTTCCACCGCAAAAAAATACTCAACTGTATCGAACAATGAGAGAATTCGGCTATGTGATGCGTTATGTGGGTACATCATACAAATGTTTTATCTTATCGTTTTGTTTCTCACTGATAATATGTGTTTCTCGCAATATGAAAACGTAAAGAGAGAGATTTCAGGGCCGTACCAGAATGCATAGTTTCAGATGTGTATTTGATAAGAATTCATCCCAGATAGCACACAAATATTACAGTAATATTTTTTTGCAATATTTAATATAGGTTGAAGCGACAGATTCTTGAATATTATTACAATATTTCTTATAAATATTCCATTGACATTTAAATCAGATATTTAAGAAATATTATTTAAAAATATATATTTTACATTTACATCAGAATCAGATAAAATATTTCCTTTTGCTCTTAAATGTTTGCTATTCATTGATCAATGAAAATTCAGATAATATGTTCTAAAGTTTGTTCCCACTTATTAAAATAATATATTAGTAACTTTTTGCGTGTTAGTGGTGTTATATATAGACACAAAAAGTATTACGTACTAAGAAAACCTATTATTATTTTATTTATTTCATGCCAATTAAATATTAGAAACAAATATTTAAAAAACAATATTTGAGAAATACTTTCTTTTGATCTGAAATATTTAGCAAACATGTAAATATTTCCTAAATTTGTATGTAATATTTTGTGCTATCTGGGATAAATTTTAAGCTTTTACTTTAAATTGCGCACTTTTTATGCCAAACATCGGTTTAGAAATGTTTAATTTTTGGCCCATATTTATGAAACTATTTGAACGGCTGGAACGTAACTAAAAACTATCGGTGAAATAAAAAAATATACCACTTTAGAAAGAGCTTTTATTACATTTTCAAACAGAACCATTAACACCTACAACTACTAGAATACACTTAAAAGCGTTAATAAATTAAATTGTACGCCAGTCGTATTACATTTACCCTGTTTCAGAGGAAGATGCGTTAATTTTTCAGATAAAATCTAAGCTCGATTCATTTATACAACCGTTTTCAAGAGAATCTGGTAAAAAACCCTAATTTATTGACTTTTTTGGAGCTTTTCAGGTGTTTGCCCATCGCGTTTGCACATAGAGATGATTGTCTCTGTTAAGTCTTGTTAATCTCAAATAGAAAACATTCTTCGTGGCAATGAAAGCATTTCATATTAAGCAAATTCCTTAACTAAGATTCCCAATCACAATTAGATTGCTATTTTAATTGCCTAAACTTCGCGTTGGTAAGAAGTAGATAATAAACGTAAAAAGCAGCATGCAATAACAAAATCGCGCAAAAAATATATCATACACATTCATTCAGTTTGTTCAATATGTTGGCAAATAAGCAAAACTTGAATGAAAACCGTTCTTGCGTAAGACCGAAAAAGAGCGTAAAACATGTCGGTTGATAAGCCGTTTGAGAATTACTCAGTTTGGGCTTTACGAGTCAACTAGATTTGGGTGAAGACATTGAAGGTACACTCAAATGCATATTTTGCCACTATTGTGAAAGAAATTAGTCAATCAACTGGCTGTATTTAACAATGATACGTATTTTTTGTACTTTAAGAGACTTCAATCTGCCTTAGCAGGCAGTCGAATACTGAAATGTTTTACAAACTAGTTCATAAAATAGAATTTCCGTCTAACAGGTATATTTACAGTATATAAAGGAGTAAAAACCAAAACTTGAGTATATAGCTTCAGTTTTATGTAACAAGATAAATACAGTCTTCATAAATGTTAACATAAACATACAATAGCATTTTACCTTATCTAGAACATCAACTATTTTTACATAAAACCTTTTTTTTACAACGGCGAAATACAGTTAGAATTCCAGTGTCACAATTGTCGAGCAAATGATAAAATCAGTGTACATTTTTTTCTTAAATATACTTTTCTGTCGATAACGTTATACATAAACAGGTATAAATAGTGGCAATGTGTGACTAGATAGTAGTTGCTACAGCATGAAAACGACCTCATTTCTCACTTACACTTGCTGGCTGCTCTGGTTCCTCTTCTTTGTCGTGTTTGCGGAACAACAGAGGACACATTCCCAAAAAACAGCCTATCGTCACGCCAAGCACTCGGCCGAAATTGGCCGCATTTCGGGAACAATTCATATCCATCTGGACGGGAGAAAGTTTTGGGGGGCTGAATCCCACCCGGTTGGCCATTCGTTCCACGTAAAACGCGGACCCAATTCCGATTATATCGGACAGGGTGTTACCTAGAGCGGCAGCCCCCATAGTTGTTAAACAGAAATAGGATCCTAAGTATAAGTCGATGTAATCGCCCTGGAAATAATTTTTTTCTCGGGTTCAATCAATGTTTTCAAAGCTGAAAGAGTTGAGTCTTTGTTGAATGCGCAATACTTACAAAAAACAGCATGAAAAAGTTGTCCAAAAATCCAAATCCAACGAAAGGAATGGAATTTGCAATCGCAACTGAAAGGTTTAAATAAATATGAGCCAAACCATCCAGGAGCGTTTATAACTTGACTTACTATCTATGAGATTTCTAGTTGTGGGTCTGGGCACCGACTCAGCTGGAACAAAATGCGATGTAAAAAATACGCAAAAACGTAGTTTGGAGCTTTTAAAGCGCATGCAGAATGGCGTGTGTTAAACGAAGAAAATGCCCGTTTTAGTCTCGCTTACCTAAGTTATTACCTGCTTTCCACGTAGTGGAAAATATCTGAATAAACGTATGGATGTATTAGTAAATGATAAAATCCCGTTACAATGACCAAGAGCAAATGCAAATGAAGAAATGGATGCCAAATGCGGCGCCCACCACCAAAACCTTGCAAAAAACTGTGAAGATGTGCCTACCAAATTTCTTCTGTAACCAATCTTCGGGAAAAGGGCAGTATGTGCCTGTAGGGTCAACGTCGCCCAGTTTGGGCAGTTTGGCAGGCCGCCCAAATTTACTTCTCCATCTCGATGCCGCTAGCTGACCTTTAAATTAGTTGCTGATATGTAATAAAATAAAAAATCAATAAACATAAATAAACCAAAAAATTTGCTTGATAAAAATAGGCGGTGGTTAGTTTTTGCTCTTTACTCGCAAAGGCACCAAAAATTAGGAATGGGTGACACAGTGGATTTTCAGGTGTTCACGCAGCGACACCGATAAGTCCAAAGGAATCGATTGAGCTCAAAAAACACGCATGTGAAATTTTTATTTTCGGTCGAAATTTTCCAAGGATGGAGGTCGATTATTTGGAAAAATAAAAATTTTCTCAAAATGTTTTAAATTTCACATTATTTTCAGCTCACGGACGCGAGGAATGCGTCGAACTCTTTGAAAAACATGGCAGAAGCTTCAGATGCGAAATAATAAACATTTTCGGCACATTTTAAGCGTTTTTGAGCGTTCATGATCTTTAGCCGATGATTCCTTCCTTATTATTAACCCAAACACTTTATAAATGCGTATTTATGACCGTCTTACGTCGAAAGTTATCGATTGAGCTAAAAAAACCCGCATGTAAAATTTTCATTTTTGGTCGAAATTTTCCAAGGGCGGAGGTCGATTTTTTGAAAAAATTAAAAATTTTTCAAAATGTCTTAAATTTCACATTATTTTCAGCTCACGGACACGAGGAATGTTTCGAGATAGTTTCAGATTCGAAATAATTATTTCCAATGTACAGGGTGATTTTACCCCCCTGATTTTTTGTGGTGCGCCACTGATTTCAAACATTTTTTTTTAACTAATTGATCAGTTTAGAACCTTTTTAGCCTCCAACACTTTCCTGAACCTGCCACCGTTTTCCAGCCAAATGCAAATTAAAGAAAGCCGCTTCAACACCCATTGCCTCAGCAAGAAAGCGTTTGCGGACAAATTTTCTGGGTATAAACTTTTCTGCAATTTTTTCGCATTTGCTCCCCCCAATCAATAGAAAGCAGCGAAATAAACAAAGTTTTGTGAGTGTTGTGTAACTTTTGCTGCAACCAAGTGAACACAAAACTGCCAGGGCTTTGTGCCGGCAACATCCTAGCAAAGCCCTCACCTTCGTACTCATCTTTGATCAATTTGGACCTGTACTCATGCAATGCTGATGTTAAAGTGGACCTTTCCTCATCGTTCAGCCTCAGAACCAGCTCCTGAGCCTGCAACTTGGAGAGCCCCTGCAGGGTGCTTGTGGTCTCGGCATGGCCTGCTGTGCCTGCCAGCAGGGAGTCCACACGCAAATTCCGCCTGCTCACCAAATAACTGTGATTCGAATAAGTTGTAATTTTAGAATTCAGCGAACACTCATGGACTTTCAAAGTCCGTTTGCACAAATGGAACATTGTGTGAGATCTGATGTGGTTTATTGACATTGTTCTGGCTGTAAGACGCACTACACTTAAATACTTAAACAAATGTTCTTAGATTTAAATTATATTTAAAAATCGAGTTTGATGGTAAAGGATAGTAGTAACATAACCTAAGATTTGAGGTTGACAAGTTTCCACTGACACACATTGACCTACTTAACGTGATGATTCATCGTTCTATCGACGTTTACCATGACTATGACGTCAGCGGAAGACGGTCAAACGTGGTTGCCTCACTTCCCATAAATTCCTTGCAATATGCAGAGCGGATGATTTATTTTTTGAAGTGGTGCTAGTTCCTCTTAAATTCCATTACTGATTACTACTCTTATTCAAACATTTTATTTTAGGAAAGCGCATGAGAATAATGGCACAATTCGCCGAATTAAACAAATAATAATAGGAGTAAAAGTTGCTGGCAACCAGTTATGCACGATTGTGTGATCTGTTGTAGTCGTCAGCAGCGATCGGCCAACATCATCGGTCACGTGACCGGTTTTATGTCTACGTGTTCGACGTGCAAGCCAAAAATCTTTCAAAGTACCGTACAAAAAGCATTGGCGAATGCCACTTTCTCGAGTCTCAGCCCCATTAAAACACCGTAGACGTACGAAAACGATCATTTATTCCAAGTGCCGTTGGTTCTAAAGCCCTTCGAAATGGGGAGTAAGTATTTGCCCACATTTGCCATCGTTTTGTCGCTTTTATTCCGCATCTAATAACCTCTTAGTTGGGGCATTAGGCGAATTTTTG